GGATGCCAGAGGATGATTTTCAGTCAGTTGTTAGCTTATTCAATAATAAGAATCACATCTGCATAGTGCCCCCATTTGCGGCGCAATTGGGTCTCTCGAGAGTGGCACCTGGAACCCAGCCGAACCTCTCGTTTATCATGATCAGACAATTTGAAAGTAGCGGGCAAAAACAAAGTTAGGGAGGGCAACATAAGAGACATCGTGCATGATTCATCACGAGGGAACTACAAAGCTATAAGAATGAGGAGCGATAACAAGAGATCTGGCGAAGCAGTAGGGTTGACGTAATCCAGCCTGCCAATTTGAACTAAAACTCAAAACTACCGCCAAGGCTTCCTGGCCTTGGAATGTTGAACTTTTGGCTAAAGTCACGAAAAGCCTAAGTGGGGATGATGAAGCGCAGGGATCATCAATGCGGAAAAATGACACCAGGAATCCGAAAATCGTGGTGCGCTGAAACTCTAAAGACTCATTGTTTTCGCTGTTGTAGTGGAACCGGCTGTAAAGGCGTGAGTTGGTGATAACACGAAACCCGGAATACAAACTAGCGAAAATTATTGACTTTGTGGGGAGCACAGGCTGGAAGTCCACCAAAATGGCTGAATCTAAATGGAGGGCTCAGCGGATTAGAATGAACACATCCTGGAGGCGGCTGAGACCATGTGAAGAGTTTGTTCGTATTTGCAGCTACTGGAACGAGTGAGCGATAAGATACGGTCGGGGATGAGAACAGGATAGTTGTGGGTGTGTTAGTGCCACGCCATCATTGACCTGACAACTTCGGTTTTTGGACAGCCTTTTAATGGACAGCATCCTTGATTTGATTGGAATTGGATGCGCAATTCTTTATGCAGCAGGATTTTTTTCACATTGGTCAAGGAAACCCTTAGAGATAGAACGAAGCCGATTTAAGATCGCGACTATTTTGCTGATCTGGTTGGGGATCCCTTTGGATGCAGATCACGGATCAGGTGGGCTAGATAACAGCCAAACATTGCGTTTGAACCAGGTATTGTCGAAGGACGAAGCTTGAGAAAACGAGGAAATGGGATAAGATCACTAAAGCCATCAGACGGGATAATGCGCATATAAAAAGAGAGGAAATAACGCTTAATGTTTGCGAAGATCAAGGTGGTGACAGCAATTGATTAAATGGGACAGGATATAGATTGATTTGTGCCTAGTAGACTGGCGATCAAGCAGGGGTTGAGTTTGCTAATATTATTACGGTACAAAGGAACTAGGGAAAACAAATATAAGCACTCAGAGAGGTGGTGGTTAGGGAACTCAGACGTACAAGGACTGACGGAAGTGGATTTCCAAGATGACTGACTGATTTATCTGGGACCTATTACGTGAGTTGGACACTAGCATAACCCTTGAAAGGAAGCGGATGTAAGAGGAATTGTCCCCAGTTCCCGAAGTGCTGGTATCAGCTCCAATTAATAAGTGGGGCATGGCAGAAAAAAGCCTTCGGGCACTAGACTTGTATACTTGTGGTGGGGGTTCGGGAATATCATACATACAAATGCATGTATATCGTTTTATGTGTTCTCACCTGGGAGCAGTAGGCAGGTGCGTATTTTGCTCGGCTGATAAAGTGGGCTTTAGTGCAGTGCGGCCTCATTTATTACGAAGCCAGTCACATCTATGCACGTCGATGTGGGCCATGGACATCACAGGAGTCCTTGAGGCTATCCCATCTGTGTTTTTTACCAGTTTCTTCTTTTAAAGACGAAAGTTCAGCCTATTTACGGTCCGTAGCTTATAGTGTTGTAAGTTAAATGAAAACCGGGACGAGTTCAACCCAACAGCAATAAACAGAAAAAAACAGTGTTCTCTTACGGATTTCCCAAATTAAAAGCCAGGCTCAGAACCACCGGCGATGGGCAAAGCACCCGTGCTACTAAAGGGGTGGCGAGTATACGAACGCACCACGGTGCATTGTAACAGGGAGACCCTCCAGGCAGAGTGTACCCGTCCAACACACGTGCTTGCTACGAGATCTGCTGCGTGGCGTGCCACCAAGCAGTCACATTGTAGCGTGTGCAATAATAAATAACCCAGGCTGCCAGGTATTTGACCATGTTAGTGATAATCGAGCCATTAAAACAGCCCAGTCATTTCGAAAATGCAAACAGCAAACCGCTACTGGAAGAGGCAAGTCGAGGAGGCAAATGAAACGGCAACTACCCTTTGGGTCATTTCTTTTTGCTCCACCGCTGTGGATTATCCACATACCCCGGTAAGCACAACTAGTCAGTGGATAACGCAGCGTCATGAGATATCCACATGTAAGTTACCAAAAAATGATATCTTTCTTATCAGGAATAATCATGATCCTCGATTGGAATACCTCATGGAACCCAAATACATTGACGGGAAATCAGGCAAACTTTCCGGTCTTCAAGTTGACTGAACGCGCTATCGCCTACCATTCAACCATGCGCAAAGGGGGTCACAGGGACCTCATCCTGAAATGCGTACGACGCCAAAAACACTTAAACTCTTCGTATTGTCTTCCACACCCTTCTGCCGAGTCATGCGTTGTCAACCATACTGCTTAGGGCATTCTGAAAGAGTTGACGAGAATAGCACTCATCGCTGTATGACATGTATCAGCACTCGTGGAACGCGGCCGGACCATCGTAGTCGATGGTGCTGGATATTTTTCGCGATTCAAGTTTCTGCGGTACAGAATATACTTATCTTATCAACTTCGTTACTAACCCGTCGACGCCATCCAAAATCAGCAACACTTCTGAGGTGTCAGTGGTGAAGAGCCTAAAGACGCCTCATATCACCTGTCAGCAGAGCCCAAGTTTTTCAACCATACAAAAATATAGCCCTCACTGTGTCATTGTACATGTGACCTCCGAGACCCAATGATATGCTTTTTGACGCCATAAGTGACGCAAAGTGGCGAAGATTATTAGAGCCTTTCGGTTTCTTACGCTGATTTATTGAGGCACACTTCCGTCAGAGCTGGCATAACTACCGAATTATGTAAGTTTCACCACAACCTCTAATTCTCTCTAAATACATCATTGTCGACAGCAGTACATGGCCTCACCAGCACAGCTTCTGGTTCTGGACACATTCTTCAATGCAAGTCCCGTTGCATAGCCAAAAACTCGCTTTATGATTGCCTTGTTGCGGAGTCCCCGGTACCATCCCACAAGAATTGTGTGCCTTAGGAAACGGTTAGTGGGCACCTGAAGAAGCCCCAGTTCCACTGCTCAGACATGGTCACTTAGCCCTTCTTTTAGAGTTGCTAATCGGTGCACTCCTGTGCGATGTAATCTCTGTCTTGTAACTTGCTTTGTTTACAGCCTTAACAATCTCTAATGCACAACATTCCTACCGTACTAAATGCTCGGCAGCTAACCAACCATTTAAACCAGCTAGCTACGAAGTCACATACGCGTCAACCACGGCTTTGAGGGCCATCTACCGACACGCCCAGGTTCATGAATAACCACACAATTAGCCACAATTTTTTGGTGGGCCACAGAGCTAACGCACGTCCTCGATATTCACACCCTTCTGCATCGACCGCATTCGGCCAATATCCGCCTGAATATCCATTTTCTTTATGGATTCGGACGTCATCTCACTGGAGTAGTCGAAATTTATAACCACTCTCAGCTGCTTGCTATTACACGACGCAGTCTAGTTTGAGTCCCAGTGTTTTTTAGTAGACCTTCTTGATACCCATTCAAAGTACGAGTCGCCAAGCGACATACGGAAGCCTTGTTGCCTCGTCTGAATGGCATAAATGAAGACCCTCCACCCCCAGTGGACCCAAGAATACCCATGACGCATCTGGTCCTCATTTTTAACGATATCCGAGTCAATCTTAAATACCCCGACAACTGGCTCACCCGGGATATTCCGCACACAGCTTTCCACGGACCCAAGTATGACGTGGCGATGAAGAAATTACAGCTGCCATAGCCAGCTTGGTGGCTTGCGCGTAGTTCAGTTGATCCCTACTATTTCCAAAACACGCGTGTCAAAGGACTCAAAAGGTCTTCTCAACTGGCTGAACGTGTGCCAAGTCTCCAAAGCACCGGCAAACCTGCTGAACTGTCTGCTCTTGCTGCCTGCGGGTCCACTAATTTTCAGGATACGAGTGAAGGTAAAACCTTGCCTTTAACCCGGTACAGGGCGTGCTGGCTTTAATAGAAGGGTTTACTACTTGCGACAAAGTCCTTGGCATTGTGTGTCGGAACGTTTGCTATAAAATAGGAAGAAATTTTTTGCCTAAATCGCCAACTGCCCCACCGCTTTAAGTTTGCGTGGACGAAAATCATCATTCTTCATGTAAACTTATAAAATATTTCCAAACCCAATTGATCAGAAGAATTGTGAATAGACAAACTTGTACACAAAATTTTCCTCCTATTTTACGGGTGATCATGCTGAGCTATGACAGCCATTAGAAATATGAATTCTGCGTCCAAAGCCGACCCTGAGTACGGTTAAGCAAACTTGCGACAATCATGAGAGGTTATCGGGTACCGAATGAACAACCGCAAATACAGCAACGCCGGTTGAATGACTTTCGGTTCAAATCACTGCTTCAGGGAAATTTGGGGTGTGACTCCAAAGTCCGGTCTCAGTGGCGTTGGTGCCCCAGGTTGGCTGGAAAGGGTAGGCACTGAATCGATAGTGTGATCAGCGTAATTTCCCCGTTTAGATATGTGCGCATATCGTGTTTCACACTCTGTTTTCTCAGATACTGCGCGTGGTCAGCTGTAAAGCCTAGAAAATCCTAGATTAACTGAAGGCAGAAGTCACCGTTTGCTTCATTCTCCCATCTGCTAATGAACCTCCATCAAGTTGACTCTTCCAAGTCCCAGCACTCAGAAATAGTATGGCAATAACTGACAACTCTGTAGGCTCACTAAGGGGGTTAGAGGTCCTATTTTCTCATGGAAGATGGTTACAGAGGTAGCACACACACACACCGCTTTGTATTTTGTTATGCTGCTTAGCCTACGGTTTGCCTGACCTTGAAAAACGCCAAAATCAGCTGCGCGGGCGTCATAGCTACTGTGATTCCGGGTTGTCCCCCGTGTTCCCTGTAAGTAAACTTCGTTCCTCAGTTGTTGGATACCCTTTGTGTTCGCTTTTTGATGTAAACTCAAGCTTTTGATTTCGTGAAATGACTCAGTACACTCAACATCAGTCAGCTGTTTTTGTGTTCCGCTTCCTATTTAGGTCATCAACTCAGCTGACCGCAGTTGCCTCTCTGGTGTAAATTCCACACTGGGAAATGTGCTCTCCTAGTCCCGGGAAAAAACGAATGAACACAGATGTGATCAAACTGTACGTGTTCCGAGATAATGTTGAGTTTTTCTTTCAGGATGGAAAGTAATTATGAGGTGACTGTTCTTGGTGCCGCCAATGAGTTAATGGTTAAATTCTTTGGTCCTGCTGAGAGTAAGTGTGTGTGGCCCTGAGTAACCTTCTCAGCACCTTATGAGGGTGGAATCTGGAAAGTTCGCGTCGATCTTCCCGAGAGATACCCTTTCAAGTCCCCCTCCATTGGTAAGATTCACTCTATTTTTTCACCAACCCATCAGGATTTATGAACAAAATATACCATCCCAACATCGATGAAGCGTAGGTTTAGCTCTGTTTACTAATTTTCTTAGTTCCGGAACGGTTTGCTTGGATGTGATCAACCAGCAATGGTCCGCCCTTTATGGTAGGTTTTTCGCTGTTCTCATCAAATTGGTACAGATCTTACCAATATCTTCGAGTCTTTCCTACCTCAGCTACTCGCCTATCCGAATCCAACTGACCCCCTCAACAGTGACGCAGCCTCCTTATTCATGTTCAAGCCATCTGAATACGTCATGAAAGTAAAAGGTTAGTTGGACTGCCTTCACTTCTACTGAAATCACGTTTACCAATCCTCCTAATTCCAGTCGATTTACACTCAGACTATTTCGGATACCAGTCCCTGGTCTACAGTTACGCTCAAGTGGTTGAATAAGAGCGCTGTCATATATGTATCTAATGAAACAGTCCGAAAGTGAATACTAGGTGATATTCCGGATTCGACCAAGCCGAAGATAAGACTTATTAGGTTAGACTGGTTGAAGAATGTACTACCCAAACGCGGTTGACCGAAGAAGCTATTTTTTCCCTACAGACTTTCATTAGGGAGAAGTTCTCGGAGAACGCCATGTCGTGACACTGCGAAATCGAAATAGCCACTGTCAAGTGTAGCGCTGCGGGGTCTTCGCAGCTTCCTGGGTGGGGTTACGTGGTTTTTCCTGCGCATGGTTAAGAACCCCACACCACAGAGCTCGTCCTAAGCGGCCTCTAGGTGCACAACCGAGGTGGGGCCTTGCATGCGTGCTTCGGAAACCGAAGGACACTGAACGGGAAAGCAAGGTCTGGGCAAGAGGTAACTGTCGCCCAATTTGATAGTGAGTAAATGGAAGGCTGTTCTGGAGGGTAATAGTTTACATAAGGAGCAACAGTTAGGGCCTGACAGATGGCTTGATTGCAGCGCATTATTCGAAGCTGGAGAGACTTCGCGTGTAAGAGCCGGTAAACAACCGCTGCAGGGCCGAAGCAGTGTTTGATTGAGATATTCACCTGGAACCATTGACTCGAAAGTCTGATCCACAAGGTTGTGGGGTGTGTGAGACTGCTTCCGGTCTCTATACTGTGAAACGGAGCTTTTTAGGGCTCTCTTGAGAGACCCATACAGGAGCTGATAACTCAATAGTCTGACCCACTTGGCTGCTGAAAGCGGTCTGGCCCGAGGACGTAGGCAGTAAGACATAATCAGCTGACTCCCAATGCGGCTGCGCGCAACAGGTGCCTTGTGAACGGCACCAGACCCTGGTTTTAAAATCACTTCGACCGTGCTACTAGTTTCGCTGGCCGCTAGCGTCAACCGTTTGGTGATCGGACCGTTCGGCTTTTAGAACAGATTTTCTGTAACGTGTCCTCCGGGGGAAAGTAGAAACGCTGTTTCTATAAATACTGAAACTCTGATTGTCTAAGGGAATCACCAGGCTCAAAGTAGCTCAGTGTTTAAAGCGCGAATATACTGGCAGGAAGATCCGTGTTTCGGACCCAACCTAGGCATTTCAACTGCTCCTGCCTAGGCTTGGGCAACCTGGTAGTATCTAGGCCATTGGTTAACATGACAGCTAGACACTGGAAGGATGTTACAGATGCACAATAAGGGAAGCACCTTACTATTATTGTCACAGCAGAAAGTAAGACTTTTTCCTTCAGTCTGGCTGTTTTCTTGCCCCTGCCCTTTCTCACAAAGATTTAATTCAGTGTAATCCTCAGGGTCACCGCTGCACTACTCGTTGCACTGGACGCCTGCACTATTTCGGTTTGAATTGGCACGAATTTCGTACTGCGTGCAGATCGCTGGTGCCGATGTCTACCCGAGGGTATAAACTATTGGGTAGATGTGCGGTGGCCTGTTGAAGCCATCAGCTAACCTAAGTGTGGCCTAATACTATGCACCAGTACTGGTTCTTCAACTTCAGGTTCTGGCCTCTTCAGTACATTCAGCGGGTTGTTGCACTCCCAACAAAATTATCGTAACAGAGGTTTCAGGGCTATGCCAATTCCTGGACCATTCGGGTACAAATGCACAAACCGGTGGTGGATGCATGCTACTGTCATTTCGTAATATGACAAAGGAGTCCAGCAGGCAAATATTGTAGTCGGTAGTTCACCAGTGCTTCCGTGATAGTTTAAGGCGAGGTCACTGGTAACCATCGAATCTGTGTCTACTCAGAGACGCACCCACGAACTACGGCCTCATGTGTCCCTGTCTCTACCCAGCCTGGCCGTTTCAAACAAACCCACTTGCTTTTGAGCATCAAACTCACAGCCTAACCGAACGGAAGTTCGCCAGGCCGTTCTGTCACGTATCAGAATTGCCATGACCTAGAAACAAAATCGTAACTCCTTAATCGTGTCTGAGCTGTCGCAGTGGTGGAGTTCCCTCCAGTCATTCGCCAGAATGTAGTTTGTTTCTGACATGGCTGTCAGCGATTCGTTTCACACGGCCCATTCCTGGTTCTTTGATCATTCTCGAACTTCAATTTTTGGAACTCCGTCTGACCATCAAATCTAGAGGATCTTGCGCAGGCCTTGTACGTGAAATCTTCCGAGCATTTTAATGTGTCAACCATACTTCGCTATCATACGGCTCGGTGCATTGAGAACTTGATGCTCGAGGGCATATTCTTGTTATTTCGAACACATTTGTATGAGTGACCGAATGCAGCGTTTGCCTTGGCAACCCGAGCTTACAGTTTCGCACCAACTATCAAGTCTGTAGACGTGCTTTTGAGGTTCCACAAATCTTTACAGCATGCGGCACCGTTATTGAGGAGAATGTTGGTAGCTCTGGTAGCCTAAATACTCGTTGATTCCTCAGCGATCAAGCCAACAACCGTTAGCTTAAATTCAGGATGTCCGTTAGCGAATGGTTGCTGTTAAATCGGAATTAGTAGAGCTGCAGATGTAACTTGCTTGGTCATTAGGATGTGTTACTTATGCTCTGCTGCTCCGTCCAAATACCTTGTTGGTAGAGGGTCCTCGAGAGACTGGCATTGTCATGACAACATGCCCACTGCTCAGCTGAGCGTGATGGCGTTTTCATGTCTTCCTGGACGGGCCCACGTGATCTTCGTGTACATGGCTAGAAACCCCGCAGTACATAATGTGTAATCGATCTTCTGCGTGTGTACGTGTGTCACCCCGTAGCCCGACTGGCTACATGTGTGTGAGGCTCGCAAAAGATTGCGTGGGGTCCCTCTAATGACACCTTGCTCCAACATGATGCTCATGTGTGTCCACTTCAGTGCTGCGGAAGGTTTAGATGCCATCAGTTTTCTTGGCTCTTTTGCCTGGGGACGTAGGGCCTCTTGCAGTAGCTTCCCACCCTTCCTTTTCTTTTGACTTTTTACCATGGCATTCTCATTCCCTGTTTGTTAATCTTCATTGCTGCCCATGATGATGACATCTCAAATCAGGCCATCACCAGCCCAACCAAAACACGAATGCCCCAACTATTCCGCGCGGTTGTACTGTAACGACGCCTCCATATACGTCCTCAAATTAACAGCTTTCGTTGTCATTGTTCTCACTAGAATCATGCGTGACCGTCGTCACGCCATATTTCTGTATATTTGGTGACTAAATAACTGATGCACTTACAACGATCGTATCCTGTTGCACGGTTCAAGGCTTGTGGAAGTTACTGCCCCACACAAAGCATCGGCTACTCATCGTCATCACCATCACTGACGGTATCATCATCAAGGACTACATACGGGTGCTTCACTATTCTCCAGTCATGCCAATCTATTTAAGTAAAACACCATAACGGAAAGAAGAAAGATGAGACAAAGTGGGTGCTAGCGCTAACCTACCTAGATTGCCCTAGGTGCCTGCTCCTAACACTCAGTCAGGCAATTAGGATAGAAACTAGCAGTATGAATGCCGCTAATCAGGTTACTGCGTGACATGGTGTTTTTGTTTTGGTAATTTTAGCTGCGGACCATATTTCCGTCCTTTTTATCTGACCTTTGCATCACAGATGTTGTGATCGACTGGAAGCTTCTCGTCTATGTTTGAAGACAGTCGTAATAAAGGGCCAACCCATATTTGTATCCCACCGTTGGTTGTATACGGAATAATACGGTTGTTTCAAAAAAGTCACCCTGAGTCCACAGGCACTTCACTCTGCGGATGCTTTGGCCACCACTTTTGCGAGTTCGGAACTCAGTGTCCGGAAATCTCTGAGACAACTAAATATACGTACACATTCTGATGATTTGAGAACCGTGAGATTAGACCCCCTCGGCGCCTTTTGTGTTTAATAAAAAAAGACCACAGGTCTGTCCATGACATTCATATTCACTAGAAGTAGAGAGGTTTCCGCACGTAATGTTCCAATTACTTCGGGTATTCCATTTGTGGAACAGTCATACTCTCCGGTGCCTGAGCGAGTGCGAAACTTACACTTATCCACGATCCAACGCACCTTGTCTGCCTGTTTGCCTGCTGATAGGCGATCATGCCACAAACATCCCGATTCTATGGGCACGTGCGCACCTGAAAGTGTTCAGAATGTACGGGTGAAAGCAAAACAACGATCTTCGATGTCTGAGGCGATAATCGCGATATGTGGGTGTACGTGTATGCTTTGCGCAGATTGCCCAGGTTACATGATCATCAGTGACCATTCTGTCACGTGAATTCGATGCGTTAGGCGATGGTGTGCGTGTATATTACATGGTCATCGGTAGCAGACGGACTTGGTATGTTCTTAGCTTTGACAGTCTAGAAACCAGGTCACACCTCACGTGCTAGCCTTTAATTCACTTTCGTCCAATGGGTGCCCGGCTGCATCTGTTGCAATATTTTACGGAGCGATCGATTACTAAAGCTGTTTTCCGTACTTACTGAACCTAACGCCGTGGAACAACTTGTCAGACAGCAATGTGCGAGAAGTAAATTTAAATTACAGTGACTCTGAGATAGGACAGTAGGCTAACCGCAATCTAAATTCCAGTTGGTTTAGCACCTGAACAACAATGAACGTCACAGTGAGTTTGCGGCCGAACTGCACTCGAGTTGTCTGTTTTTGTCTGTGTGCATGCATCAGAAACTATGTTCACTTGGGGCACGTGTTTATGATCGCGATTTCGCGGCCCGTTTAGATTCTGTTGCTTATTTACTTGACTTTCTTAACTCAGTGCAATAGTATTTAGATATCTGCCCCCAGTACTCATAAAGGGTGCTATTCATTTAGTTCGTTTTGTTCTCCAGACATGGGTTCCCATCTTATCCAAGTGCGAGCTCGAGATAACTCA